TCAAGGAGCCAGCTGTCATTCTGATGTTTGCCCTTTGAAAAGAACCTCTTTGCTCACTATTTCCCTTATTTTCTTCTTACGCTTTGTTTTCTTTCAGCAGCTGTATTATGGCAAGGTATCATTATTGCTCTCATGTCAAACTGTGTATTATTATCAGTTGTTGTTATTTCACAGTCTACCTCAAAACGTGGTGGCTTTACACCATGATTATTTATTTTGCCTCAAGCTCTGCAGTTTGAGCAGAGCTCAGTGGGAAGTGCTTAATTCTAGTCTGTGTGCCGTCAGCTGGGGTGGCTTGATTGCACGATCGGCCTTGAAGATGTCTCTCCTGGCTAGTAAGTTGGTGGGAGTTCACCTGGGGCCAAGGGGCCTCTCTACACCTTGCTTGGGCTTCCCCTGGTACGATGGCGGAGGCCCAAGAGAAGTAGAAGCCTCCAGTCTCTTTTGACCTCCATCTGGAAACTAGGACAGCATCTTGACTGCCACATTCTCTCGGAAAAGCAGTTTCAGAGCAAGAATAAAGGTTAAAGAGATACAGCTTCCCACTGCTCAGCAAGAGGAGTGTCAAGACTTTGGGGCCGTGCTTTAAAACCTCTACAAGGTGCTAAGTTTTCGTGCTTTTGTTTGCTTTTTGTAGGGAGAAGGGCTTATAGGATACAGTGAATCAGTGGAATAATTTTAAAAAGCAGTTTTGGAAAGCGTAGGCATCCGTTGTTCAAGTGAGGCCTGCTGCTGCATTTTCTGTTCTGATCTGGACTCAGCCACGTTGAAGGGGGAGCTGCTCATTGCGTGCTTGACGTCTCTCCTGCTATCCTGCATGGTCCCCATTTCCTCTCCATGTTGTATTCTGCTTACTTTCCTGATCTTTCTCCCCTTTGCCAGTGCTGCCCCACGGCCACATTGGAGGGGCATAAGCGAGGCTGCCAGCAGCCCGGAGTGGTTATGGGACCTCGTTCTCCAGAGGAGAGTGGCCGGACCCAGATGGCAGGCGCGGAGCCAGCCAGACGTAATGACCCGAGCCTCCTCTAGGTCGTCCTCACCCTCTGGCTGGGTCCTCGGACTGTGGCTCGGCTTCGTCAGTGTCTCCCATCCGTTTTCCTCCCCTTCACCTTGAACTGCCTCAGGAGCCCACCGGGCTGCTTTCCTCTCTAGCCCGAACCCCTACCCCCGTGTCGGGTTGGCGCGCTTCGCAGTCACTGCTCTGTCTGGTTCAGCGGGGACGGAAGGTCTGGTCTCGGGCTCCCCGAGGCTGCCATCTGCCGTTTGCTTGGATGGCGAGAACTGACCCCAAGCAGAGGCCAAACCGCCCGGGCCGCCTCGGCTTCTCCTGCCCAGACTTCTCGTTGCTTTCTGGAGCCCTGCCCCTTCCCCAGGTCTCCTGGGCCCTCCCTGGTCCCCAGACACCCCAGGGCAGTCCAGACTGGACCATTCTCCCTGTACCCTGAGACCCTCGGCCGAGAGGCGCCCTAGACACTTTCCACCGAGCCTCTCCCAAGCGCAGATCTGGTGACTCTTCCTCACAGAACGCCACTCTCTGTTTTCAGGAACTGAGCCAGTTGGGCCCCCGACCGTGTCCCTCTCCACTTAGAGTGTCCAGGGTCATCAGGTAAACCTTTTTCTGCCCGTCGAGTTCTTTGACGTCCCTGGCTCTCGTTGGCTGCTTCTTCCACAACCAGGTCCCGCATCACGGCATTTCTGAAGTGCACTCCCCCAGGGCTACCTGGAAACCCACCCAGCGTCCCTGGTTCCCCGCCACCTGCTGTCCCCGACCAGCGCAGGCAGCTGAACTAAGATCACTCGAGTGAATTTGCAGGGGCACAAAATAAAACACAGACACAATTTACCTTTACACGAGCTTCAAGGCCACTTGCCTGGCCCTCGGCCTCCGTCTCCCAAAGAGGGAGAGCAAGAGAAGGTGACGAGAGGCTGACGAGAGCGAGGGAGCATGGTCAGAAGGGGGCTTTTACGGGGGGACCGCTTGTTCTTAGAAAGTTCTGTCCACAAAAGGGCAGAAGGGGCAGGACTCAAGGGAACAGGTGAGTGTAACTCAGCTCTGGGGCACGCCCCCCAAAGAAGACCTCCTTGCCATCCGAGCTGTCTGTGACCAGGCCACCACGAATGCAGTGGCGGCCAGAGGCTGGAGCATCAGGACTGGAGGGCGTGGTCATTCGTGTGGCCCCACACCATTCGCTAGTTGTCTCTCGTCACCGGCTGTTCTGCTAATATGCCTGGCTGCTGAGCTCCTGATCTTGAATTCTATTTGATTCTTTCTTCCAAGTTTCAAGTTTTTCGTAAAAATTCTCAATTTCCTATCTTCCTGAGTGTTACCATAATTATTTTAAAGTCTTCGTCAGAGAACTTCAGTATTTATAGCCCCCTTACAGACCTGTTCCTGTTGCCTTCTTTCCTGCCTGAGCCCACCTGTCCTGTGAGTTTGAGGATGTGTTGAACATTGTATTTGCACATGAGCTGCTGGGAGTCAACTGAAGCCTAGTTGATGATTCTCCACTGGGAGCAGAGGTATTTGGCTTCTCCTGGGTACCCGGGGACAGTTTCAGTCGGTCAGTCTCACTCCAGTTTCTGGAACCAAGTGGTCTGAGGCCATGCTGTGTTCCTGGGAGGACCTGGCCCTGTGTGCCTCAGCCTCCTTCCTGGACTGTGAGCCTTCTAGATCTTACCCAAAGTGAGAGGTGCGCCCCGGGCTGTGTCCCGGCAGCCCCCTGGGCGCAGCCCCCTGGCCTGAGTCCCAGGAGGCTGTCAGCATGTGGTTTATAATTTGTCCTCTCAAACAGCACCCATCCCTTGACTCCGGGCTCAGGCAGGGCTGGCTTCTGTCATTGCTGGGCCCAGGCAGGCCTCTGCCACCCCTTCCCAGTCGGGTAGCTCATCATGGTCTTAAGAGGCAGTGAGCATCTTGTGATCTCCTGTCCTGCCCCTGGGCTGTGCACCGTGGGCATCTGTCTCCTTTATCATCTGCCATGGTGGACTGGGAGGTCCTTCCTGCCGTCCCCTTGGTCATTCAAAGGCCTGTGCCCTTACCCATTGCTCCACTTCTGCGTGTGCTCCTCAGCAGCAGCCTCCTGGGAACGTCATCTGCACCTGCCAGCCATAGCTCCTCACTTCCCTGCTCCTCAAGCCCACTCCCAACAGGCTGCAGTCCCACCACTGCACTGAAGGCTCCTGTCGGGGCCACTCCTGCAGCCCTGGTGCCGGACCCGGTGACCGACTCCCAGCTGCTCCGTCTGCCCGGCAGCTGCGTTCCTCGTGGTTGGGTTGGTGAGTTGGTGAGATGGAACTCACTAGCCGAGGGACGGTGTGTGTGTGTGTGTGTGTGTGTGTGTGTGTGTTGGGGCACCTCTTGTCCTTCCCACTTTGTGCCGTTGTTGTTCCTGTAGCACTTATTACCCGACAGTCCGCCCAGTGTCTGTCTTCATCGTGGGCTTTTAAAATCTTTCTCTTGCTGATCTCTAAGAACACAGGCTCTGGGAGGGCAGGGCGTCACCCACGGTCTCTTCATTCCTTCCCTTTAGAACGGGGTCGGGCACAGGCCACAGGCTCAGGAGGTGGCTGTAAATGACCCCACTGTGTAGTGCCTGCCCCCTGTTGAGACCACACTGGGCCCTGCCTCCACTAGACCCAGCTGGCTGCTGGGCTTGTGTGGATGAGGCAGAACCTTCTGGTATGTTGAAACCCTGATCAGAATTTCAAGTCGCTGCTGGGCTTGGTGGTATAACCCCAGTGGCTTGGGAGGCTGAAGCAGGAGGATCACAAGTTCAAAGCCAGCCTCAGTAATTTAGCAAGGTCCAAAGTAAGTCAGGGAGACCCTGTCTCTAAGTAAAAAATAAACTAAAAAGGGCTGGGGATATGAGTCAGTGGTTACCCTGGGTTCAATCCCTCGAACCAAAAAAGAAAAAAAGAAATAAGAATTTCAAGTGGCCATCACTGACATGGATTATCATGGCTTTAGTTGGTCACATTGCTTTCTCATCTGTCCTCACAGCTTCCTGTGAGGAGGAGGGAAGGTACAATTAGTCTTGTTTCAAATGGGGCTCAGGGAGGGAACGGGTTTTCTTTTTTTTTTTTATTGGTTGTTCACAGCATTACAAAGCTCTTGACATATCATACTTTGAACAATAGTTTCAAGTGAGTTATGAACTCCCATTTTTACCCCAAATACAGATTGCAGGGGAACGGGTTTTCTTAAAGCCACACAACAATTTAATAACAGAACTTGAATTCAAACCTAGTTTCTTAAAAATAACAAAAAATTGTTTTCTGATTATAAAAACATATGCTCACTATAGAAAATCTAGAAACTACAGAAATGAATAAGAACATTTAAGTTATTAAAATATCATGCAGATTTTGACATATTTCCTTCTAGTCTTTTTTTACACAGTTGTAGTCACATTGTAACATTTATGATTTTTATTCTGCTTTTTTACAAAATAAATATTTCCATGTCCTTTTTTTAAAACTATCTATTTTTAGTTTTAGATGGACACAGTATCTGTATTTTATTTTTCATGGTGCTGAGGATGGAACCTGGCGCCTCATGCACGCCAGGAGAGCGCTCTACCGCTGAGCCCCAGCCCAGCCCTCTGTGTTCTTTTAATTTCATTTTACTGACTGCTTATTGTCCATCCACGGATGTATCCCAATTTATATGATCTTCTATTGCTGGATGTTTAGGTTAAATTTTTAAATTCTTACCATGTACCAGGGGCCAGATATTGGAGACTAAGGCCTGAGATGTAACGATCAAATTAGAAAGGGGCTGTGACAGAGCTTTGGTTAAATAAAATATAAAAGCCGGTGCGGGGGGGGGGGGAGGGGGAAAAGTTTTTGCACATTGAGACGTGCAAGCCAGGCTCCTTTCGGCTGTGGGCGGGCGGGGATGAGGCTGGCTCTGGTGGCCTGCATGGGGACACCATGGCTGCAACTGTACAGGGCTGAGGGGCCTGCCTGGCTCCGTCCTGTCACCTCCTGTCCTGCCGCAGACTCTTCCAGCTGGAGTCGGAGGCCGACGCACTGGTGCACTTCCAGCAGTTCTCGTCGCAGCTGCCGCCCTTCTACGAGAGCTCCCTGCAGGTCCTGCACCTCGAGGCCCTCCAGCACCTGACCGACCTCATCCGCAACCACCCCAGCTGGTCCGTGGCGCACTTGGCGGTGGAGCTGGGGATCCGCGAGTGCTTCCATCACAGCCGCATCATCAGGTGCGCAGGGCTGGGTTGGTTTGAACTAAAAAGGAGCCGCCTGGCCCTGGGTCAGGACTCAGGAAGGCCGACTCAGGTCAGGAGCAACAGAGCATGCCCAGTCCTCAGCTGGAGAGGGCTGAGTGGGAGCTCCCACCTGGTGTCTCCTTCAAAGGTCTGGTGCCCTTTTGGCAGCTGGATGCCTTTGTGGTGTGTCCACTGGGCCAGCAGTGAGGCCCATGGAGAGGATGCTGCCGGCTCTTGCACAGGATGCCAACTGGCCACTGCCCAGAGGTAGCCACGCCTCCTCTGGTTCTCCCCCAGGACCACTTGCTTCAGCCCCTGGGCCTGCAGCTCAGGCCACACTGTGCGCATGTTTGCATGCAGGATCCTGGACGGCAAGGTGTCTGATGTCACAGCAGATCTGTTTCCTGGGCAGGTGCAGCAGGTTCTGTACATGACATTTAAGCCCAGAGAGGTTAAGTGCATTGGTCAAGGTTAGCAGGATTTCTGCGTCCTGTGCCCTTTTCCATGTCACCCCGTTGCCACCTCATGCTGGTGTGGCCCTGGGTCACCTCTCTCACTCAGATGTGAAAGTGAACTAAACCCTGATACAGATCATCAGAAACCCAATAAGTGGCCACTCAGCCCTGAGTCTGAACCGGCCGGCTTGAGCGGGGTGGCACTGCTAGCACAGACACCAGCATGTCCTGACTCCCCAGCCCGAGTCCCCTTCTGTGCCTGGGCTTCTTGGCCCCTGTTTGATCACTCCCCTGCCTCCCTGCAGCTGTGCCAACAGCACGGAGAATGAGGAGGGCTGCACCCCCCTGCACCTGGCCTGCCGCAAGGGGGACAGCGAGATCCTGGTGGAGCTGGTGCAGTACTGCCATGCCCAGATGGACGTCACCGACAACAAGGGAGAGACTGCCTTCCATTATGCTGTGCAGGGGGACAACTCCCAGGTGCTGCAGGTGAGCAGGGGCAGGGCAGGGTAATGGTTCTGACCACACCTCCATGTACCGTACCGCAGTTCTCTCAGGGGCCCTGGGCTCGTGTGTCAACGTGACACTTGTCAGGAGACAAGGTTGGCCTCTGCTGTGACAGCCTGGGAAAATCCCCCAACCCAGCCAACTAAACCACATCCACGTCCAGCTCCGGCCAGTTGCACCGCTGTGAGCCTGCCCTCTGTGAGCCTGCCCTCTGTGAGCCTGCCCTCTGTGAGCCTGCCCTCTG